CTTGGCTTTCACGCAGGCAAATCTCGTATTGTGACGGTTTTTGAGGCGTAACTCTCGGCGCATCTCACTGCACAGGGAATGCTTCTTGAGGGTTTTGCCAATCGTGAAGCTCCCGGAATTCCGCTTGTAATGCCGAGCCCCTTTACCCAATCCCCAACCCCAAGCCCGGAAGCCCTCAAATGGACCCTCAAATCATGGAGATTCAACACCCTCTGAACCCTAAACCCCGAAACCCCTAGACTGCAAAGCAAGAACCCATCAACCCTATAAACTCTAAAGCCCGCATAATGCCCCCCTATAAATAGTAACATTAGAACCTGCACACTTCAATCCACTCGCCTCCCGAAAGCCCAGGTCTTGAATCCCAAGCGGTTTAGGGTTCATTCAGGGTTTAGGGTTTGGAGTTTAGGGTTCAAGGTTTAGGGTTCAGGGTTTAAGGTTTGGGGTTTAAGGGGTTCAGGGTTTAGGGTTCAATCCCAAGGGGCTTCTCCTGCTTCTGCTGCTTCTCCCAGCTGCGAAATCTCTCCATCTCCTGGAAAAAATGGTTGGGGTTTAGGCTTTAGGGGTTTAGGGCATCACTACTTAGATGCGGAGTTCATATGCTCCAAAAGACCTAAACTATCAGTTTTCTAGGGGATCGTCGACAAAAAGCGTAAAGTGTACCCACCCAGGGACTTTAAGGTTGTACGGCTTAGGGGTATTCGGGTTGGGGAATGTTGCAGAGGTTTCGGGCTTTCGGTTCGGGGTTAGGTGCCGGGGCCACGGACTTCTTGATAGGGCCTGCGAGGAGTGCCAAGGGGGATGACCGCCGAATTGGGTTTAGGGTTTAGGGTTGCAGGGTTAGGGGTTTAGTGTTTGTGTGGGGAGCACGGCACTCAAGCCGCGGCTGTAGCTAAACTCCCTACATCCGGGAGATTGGAGTTTAATTAGGGTTTAGGGCCAGCCACCGATGAACCCTAAGCCAAAGGCTCATTAGCACGAAAGCCTGAACACCCCTAGACCCTAAACCCAAAAACCCGAAAAATCGCAAGAATTACGCCTCTCGCAGGTCTGCTGGCAGCCGCTCCGCGGCAAGCTCGGCACCAAAAAGAACCTCTGTCTCTCTCTCTGTCTCTCAACTTTTCAAGAACATTATCGGGGCTTAATTAGTGCTTAGATTTTTTGTGAGGCTGGAAAGGTGTAAATCGAACTACATGGAGTTGTATAGGGTTCGACAAGGTCTGGCGTAGTTTTAATGTCTACGATGCTGCCGCTGCTCTTTCTGGAAAGGCTTCAGGAGATGCGTGCATGACCTATCCTCTTCCATCGGCTGGAGGAGACTCCACCTACTGGCAGCATTACTTGCAATGCTCGGAGTTTCACCAGTAACTGCAGCTGTCCACAGCCACAGCGGCTGCAGGAACTGAATTCATGGGACGAGCCACGCTAGATCTCCAAAATCACGTCACCATCCCACAGTTCGAGAGTTTGAGGGATGCATCTAGGGGCTCCTGTGATGGTGTAAGGTTCAGGGCTTGAGGTTACTGCTCAGGGTTGCTGTTCAGGGCTTCGTGTTCGAGGGTCAGCTCTATTCTATGATGCGAAGCCAAAAGGGGGGTTTAAGATTCTTGTGGTCGGGATTCCTTAATATGAACTCTATTATGGGAACCCTAACCCCTACTAAACCCCCACAAGCTAAAACCCCTTTTGGCCTCCTATGATTCTATCTTGTGGGGTGAGGCTGCTGACTGGAGCAGAGCAGCCGAGTGTGCCCAGCCAGCAAACGCGGCACCTGGGCTCTGTAAGGGCTCTCTGACATAGGGGCCGTAATGAATAGAAAGGGGATATATAGGGGCTCTAACGATTGGACTAGCGGCCCTCTGAGGGACTGCGGAACAGGTTTAGGATCGAAGTCTGGGGGCCTCGCGCGAGTGTAGGATTCGGGGACCCAGGGTTAGTAACTAAAGACCAAACTCTTCTGTCAAGTAAGGGATATTGGCATGGGCGTCCCCGGGAAATATGCACAACCATCGGACAAAGTGCTCTGAAGTCCGGAGAACTCACTAGCAAAACCCTGTTGCGTACTGCAATTCTCTGAAGCATGCTTCGCCCTTTCCCATAGCCGTTCGGGCTCATTCACCCGAACCAACCGGCGACCTGAGACCGAAAACAGGAATGCTAAATCCACTAACTGGAACTCCAGAAAGTTGGAGTATGGATTAATGGTAGGATCCCCTATAATTTACCTTAAAGGGGTTACGATAATGATATTCCAACTTTCTGGCTTCTACTGTAAAGCCGCATGCCTTCTAACAAAAACGAACGCACATCTACTGAGAATTTGAACGGGGACAGATGCGGCGCTTTCACAGCCAACTCGGACAAACGCACCTTGTGTACCTTCATGCAGGAACTTTTGCATCAAAGCAGCCGAACCGGCGTCGAAACGCATCGCCCACCTCCCATCTCAACACAAGCAGCACACAGTTTCAAGAGAAGCTTCTGAAACATACGTTTACATATGCATATATCTGCACAGAAATGTAACTTTACATGTACATACACATATACGAACATGCACTTGTATGTGTATGCGTATGTGTCGATCTGTATAACTGCAAGTGTATCATATAGATGTACAGTGTAGGTATCCCTGAACTCTTGAAGGGGCTCTCGAACATTGAGCTCCCTCCTTCGCCTGTCGAGTTCGGATTCTGAATGGCATGCAGTCACGTCACCCTGGCCCCCTTATGCATACATCTCAGCCCAAAACCGAGTTCAAAATCTCTAGCAACCACCCAACGCACCACCCACACTGAAAATTGCAAGCCACCTCCCAGCTCAACACCATCCAATTTTCAAAAAGCATGGTCGTCCAATACTTAACCATTCTTCAATCATACCTAGAACAAGTACTGGCCTCCTCGTACACTGCCGGAGTCAGCGATTTAGCCTGCATGCTTTCAGTTCTTTCGTTCAGTATCCTGGGGAAACTAAAAGTAAACCTTTGAGATTATAGGGATTAGGTCGATTAGGTTTAAGTTAAAGGTTGCCGGTCCGACGGCTAAGAGTTCTAATTAATGCGCTTCATGGCTGCTTTTGGGTCTCCTGTGGTGAAGGTCTTCTTGAATACAACGATCTGCAAGCCCTTAGCTTCACATCCATCCGAGCACTTCAGAACCCAGCAAGACTCGTTGTTCTTCTCACATCTGTCTTTGCTTCCACACCTACAGAGCCACTGCCCCTGAGCTTTGCTAGTCTAAGCCAGAAAGACCTCGCTAGCCATCACGCCCGAACCCTGTTAAACTTTTACAGTACATCTACGTGACCGCTATGTCCTTTACGACTTACCACACCGTCTTCCCAATCTCGACCCTTAGGGTAAAGAACCGAAGATACCTCACCTGAAACCCTCTTCACGCCCGTAGGGCGAACACTCAAAATCCTGAAGCCCTCAGAACCAACAAACACTGAGCCCACAACCTTGAACAACTAACCCCAATATCATTCTGGCCAACCGAAACCATTGAAACCCCTCTACCCTGAACTTGCACCGCTACGCAAAATACCCCAAAGGAAATCCTTAGCGGAAGCCGTCCCAGCCTCCCGCAGTGCTGGCTCGTAGTCTCTTACAGTGATGCGCCACACATGGACGTCCTGGAACGCTGGGGTCACTGCGCTGGGTGTTAGAGCATTGGGCGAATGAATTCGGAGTCCGGGATGTGGTGGTAATCTCGTCTAATCCCTGCTGCAACAAACCCTAAACTCTAAACCCTCAAACTTAAACTGGAAATGCTAAACTGCCCGGGCATTCAGTGACATCGCTGCTCGCAGCTAAACACAAAGGGTTTGGGGTTTAGAGTCTACAATTTATGGCTAGGGTAACGGAGGCTTGAGGGGTTTCAAGAGATTGAAGGCTCGGGTTCAGAATTTAGGCTGTTGTGCTTTCTTCATCGTCTACACGCGCTTTTTCCTTCCAGCAGGTTGGTCAGAAGGTACGATTGTACCGGGCATGTTGGCGGGTTGGTGGTTCAGGACTGCCGTCAGCTGCTGATGTAGAGGGGGCATTGCCCCGAAGTGTTCCGCAGCTTAAGTTAAACAGTTTCGAAGGGTTGGACGACAGTGGGACTCCAGATTAGATCCAGATTAGATCCGAAGATCCAAACACTGGCTTTGCATGCTTTTCTATCCATGTGGGGTTTCCGAAAATAGGGGACCCTAACATAGTACCCTAAATAGTAGGATCCTTATTACAAGGACCCCAAAACAAGGTACCCCTAATTTTCGGAATCTCTCATGTGCCTTCTGTTTCGTCTGGCCGCCCTTCAAGCTCCGTCCAGCTATCTGTGACTCTTCTCAAAACTCGCATGCGCTGCTCGCTCAGCAGTCGACGCATTTCATACTCTTCCACTGATTGTAGTCAATGTGCCGCATCATCGCCTGCCATTGCATTTGCTGTCATGAACACCCTCAGCATCAACTCGCAACCAGCGCTGATGTTCTAGCTGCTCTTGCACCTGAAGCTGCGGAGTTAACAGCAACGTTGTGCTACGAAGCCATCGCTCGCTACACTCGGCGGAGAGCCACGAAAGCAACAAAATGGCTAACTGTGCATGTGGCTGCTTCAACAAGGCCTTCGTCGCACGTCGTCATAAGGCTATGCTGAAAAACAGAACGACCAGAGTATACTCATAGAGCCCTGCTATAGATCCCTTATAGACCCCCTTACCGAACCCTCTAAAGGAACCCTATTCTAATTATCAAGTATACACTCCCCTGGGCTGAAAACGGCTTGCTGAACCAGGTTCCGACGGCTCCGAACCTCTGAAACTCGGAAACCTTGAACCCCAAAATTCACATCCGAAGCTCTACATTGTAATGTATGTTTTAATCCGATGCAAAAATACATACATTACAATGTGAAGGTGACCACAAGCTCAGAGTGGTACAATCAGAAACATGGGTGTACTTCCAAGAGGACTATGAGAGGAACACGATGCTTGCTTCTTGCAAGACACGGCCTAACCCTGAACCCCCAAAGCCACAAATACCTTCAGCTGCTTCATTGGCCCGATCTCCCAAAAGAACTCGACACCGTCATCGATGATGGCGCGGCAGGTGTCTTCCTCGGTGCCATCCCAGGCCAACTTAATTATCCTAAATGCTGGTTCAGGACTCAAGAGCTTCATGTAGGTTCTGGGTTCAGGATGTCCAGATCTGAACGCGAGGCCCAAATTCTGAATTTGGAACCATGTTGAAGGCTGATTCAGGCGGACGCCTCAGGAGGGGTATCAGGAGACGACGCTACAGGGAGTAAACCTGCAGTCGGAGCATGTTTGGACCATTGTGGTCTTGGTCCACAGCGACAGAAGGATTTCGACTCAAGCTCTACATTTACATACTGGAGCCCGATTGAAACCCTGTAAACCTGACAGCTGACCTAGACGAATCCTTAAGCTGCTGGACATGAAGCATCCCAAACCCCTTGTCAAGGAACGAAACCCTAACCCAAAGCACCCTAAACCCTGAACCCAGTGTACCCTAACCGTAAACCATATGGGTGGTTGTCAAAATGATGGTCCCTTATTGGGTACCCTAAATACTAGGTGCCGTCTTGTAATCGGGACCCAAAAGGGACCATAATTTTGACAACCACCCATATAAGCCCTAACCCAGTGCAGCCAAAGTTGCCCACTGGTTCGGAGAGGTCAAGCCCTGCACTAGGCCATCGACGATGGACGCCACAGGCGTTCCCGGCAGCCAACGCTCTCCAGTCTGAGAGGAGTAGACCTCCCCAACGTTTTCAGGGTACGGTGCAGTAGTAGTAGTAGTAGTAGTAGTAGTAGTAGTAGTAGTAGTAGTAGTAGTAGTAGTAGTAGTAGTAGTAGTAGTAGTTAGTAGTAGTAGTAGTAGTAGTAGTAGTAGTAGTAGTAGCAGCAGCAGCAGCAGGAGTAGTAGTAGTAGTAGTAGTAGTAGTAGTAGTAGTAGTAGTAGTAGTAGTAGTAGTAGTAGTAGTAGTAATAGTAGTGTGCAAAAGTTCAGGCGTTCAGGGTTTACCCATACACTCCATAGTAGTCTGGGATTACCTTATAGGAAAATGACCTCCCCAGCGAGGGTTTAGGGCTTTAGGGCTTAGGGTTTAGGGGTTAGGGCTTAGAGGAGTAGACCTAAGGGTGCAAAAGTTCAGGGGTTTAGGGTTTAGGATTTAGGGATCTGTGGTTTAGTGATGTAGGGGTTTAGTGTTTACGCATAGACTCCATAGCAGTTCCGTTTTGGGATTACCTTATAGGATTCCCAATATGAACCCCGGAAAGGAACTATGGAGCCTATGGGTGGGGGTTTGAACGATCCACCAGAAATCGCGACGAACTGCGAGACGAACGGGGATCCCCAACATCCAAGAAGTCCAATATAGGGTTTAGGGTTAAAGCTTTAGGGTTCGAGGTTTTGGGTTCAGAACATTCAAGACGCCTGAATCAGATTTATAGGGCGTTACGTGAAACTTTATGGCGCATCATACTGCCTGCAGTAAGAGGATCTGCTGACAATTAGTTCGAACTCCGGTATTGCAAAATGATCGCTCAACTCAACCACTTCCCTCTGAAGGTCCGAAAACCAAAGGAAACAGGAAACTCCGTCAATCAATGTCAATCAGGTGATCTTATGAAACACGACAAGTACATGCTTGATGTAAGGTCCTAGCGCCGGAAACCCCCATGTAGTAGTATCAGAACCCCCAATCCACCCTCCCCCCCTTGGCACCGTAATCTCTGGACTTCGTAGGGCACCAGTCTTCACCTGATGCTTTGGGCCTTAAAGCTATGGTTTAGGGTTTGGAGTTTGGTGGTGGAGTTTAGGTTTGATCAAAGCTCTGGCGGCATCTTGTCCGATACAAAATGAGGAGTGTCCATGACACCCTACCCCTAAACCGTAAATTAGTCCGAGTTCATCTCGAACCCATGAACAAGCAAGGACAACCATACAACCCTCAGCAACCATGGGGCAGCAAAGTGTCATGTGTGTGGAGTGACTCCTTTTCTTTTGTAAGATTTCCGTAGTTCAGGGTCAGCCGATTTTTGAGTAGAAAACTCGTTATCAGAAGGAGCACGATCCTCGACAGGTTTCACGAGGCATCCCCACTCACCCGTCCCCTAAACCGTGAACCCTCAAGCCCTAAACCCTAAAGTCCTAAATCCTAAACCCTAAAGCCCGAAACCCTAAGCCCTAAACCCCTGTACCATCAATCCGGAAGCCCCTGCAAAGCGTGAAAGTCCTGAGCCCTGTGAAACTGGAGTCATGACGCTCGGGACGCCAAAACAAGGGCAAACCAAACCTAATCGAGGGGCCTCAATAATTCGAACGGGTTTTGGGGCTCGTTATACTATACCTATACTACCAAAATAGTATAGCTAATTATTTAGGCCCCTGTAGTATTACGGATACCTCAATTCCGCAGCCCTTGAAATGCAGCCTTAGCACACCGCCTCTAATCAATAATCCTCGGCGAAGCCCTAAACCCTGTAGTCCGAAATCCTCGGCTCCTTGACCTGAAACACCGAGGTGCCATCTCAAGGAGATGAAGCCGGAGGGGCTCCTTCAGGATTTAGGATGCTTGGTCTAGGGGGCGGAATGCTGAGGATAGGGCTTTTTGTTTAGGGTTTACGGTGAGAGCCGAAGGCTTATAAAGGAAGTTTAGTCATTAGTAAGTTAAATGCAGGCCATTAGATTGATTCATGTACCGGCCATTACTTTCGCATTGTAGGACAAGCACTCACCGACAAGTAATCCTGCTTCCTGTTTACTGAAGCTTGTTTCAATTCGGGGGCCGTACCATCTGGAACACAGAATGTACAGTAAACCCAGACCCTTAACCCTGAACCCCTAAATCCTAAACCCTCAGAAGCCCCTAAACCCTCAGAAGCCCCTAAACCCTAAACCGAGTAAACCCAGAAGCCCCGAACACGAACCATTTAAAGGAACCAGTGCAGCTGGGGCTCTGCGGCAGGCTCCATCAGCTCTGTGTGGAAGCCACCGGTGCAGCCTGGACATGCACGCTTCTCGTTGAATCCCTAAACCCTTAAACCCTAAACTCTAAACCCCAAGCCCTAAACTCTAAACCCCAAGCCCTAAACTCTAAACCCAAACCCTAAACTCTAAACCCGAACCCTAAACTCGAAGCCCTTACCCCTGAACTCTAAACCCAAGGGACGAAGATAAGGCCTTTCACTTTCTGCTTCGGGGTTTGGCGCTGCCGCAACCCGGACCTGGAACAACCTCCCGTTGCAGCAGGTGCGTCAGTAACCTGACGCATTCAGTAGAAGCTGCCCCCACCCTGTAATAGTGACCATAAGGATTATATAGGATTATATTAGGGCCCTATTATATTCCTATTATACCACTATTACAGGGTGGGGGCAGCTTCTAACTCATTTAGGTCGTACTTCCCAAAGGCTCCATGTCCTTTATCGTAGATACTTAGGCCTTAAAGGGGTTCCTTTATAGGCACTTTAAGGCCTAAGTATAGACTATATGGGTACATGGAGCCATAGGGCTTTATGGCAAAACCCGCTTTGGAACAGCTTAGGCATGAGGAATGATAGATGGAGAATGCCGACCAAATCATATGCATCAGCCGTACCCACGCCGAAGCCGTTTGCTTGACAGGAGAAACCAGGACCACAACTGGGCTTCATTGTTGGGAAGCCACCAACTTATGCACTCGTAGATCTTGCTGCATGAGTGATGTTTACACCGCCAGAGCCCTGACCACTCCGTGAATCTTCAGCAAAACACCAAAAGCCCTGCCTTCCCGAATCAGATCATACCAGAAGTCTTCAAGCCCCTAGTGTGCCTCGCAGTTCGGCAACTTTCTGTGCACTTCGATCTTTCGCCATCTGCCTGAAGTTCCGGAAGAAGCTTTACCCTTCTGATAGATATGGGGTAGTCCGGAGACAGGTACGAAATCGTCGTAGGGATACTCACAATCTGGATCGAGGCCAATTATACTACGAGTAGGGTGGTGTAGGTATAATGTGAGGTCTACGGCCGTCTCGGGTTTCGAGTTCAGTGAAACCCATGGACCTGCCGGTACTATCGCATGTGACCGTCTGGCGAAACACAGAACGATGCCTATCTACGTACCAGTGTTTAGGCCTAACCCCTACATGTACCTGGGACCCGGAAGTTTCGCAATCTTGCAAGGAATGTTAGGACCATGGCTTGCGTGGATCGACATTCTTCCTTCCTACATTTGCTAGGTGCCGTTGTTAGAAAGGTAAAACGCCCGAGGCTGGATCAGGCCGAAGTGACTTGGCGGCATCCACTGCCGCAGCCGTGCCGGAGACGGCTACACCGCAGGGAAAGAGACGATTGGCCACCTCGGCAATGCGATCGATGGGATTTGAGGGTTTAGGGCGGTATGATGTGATGGTCATGGTTTGCAGGTTACTTGCCAAGCGTTGGGGTGTGTTTTAGGCTTAGGAGAGTTGAGACAAGCCCTAAACCCTTTACCCTTTGTTGGGCATGATTGTTTTCTGTTTCATGGCTCGGGGTTTCTTTATGCTTTGCCTCGAGTTTCTGAAGCTTTGTTGGGGGTGGAGCTGTGGTGCAGGGGCTCTGGGATGTCCGACATCTACCGAAGCCCTCAAGTACCTACTAGGAATAAGACTGACAGCTGGTGGCAGCCCTCAACGCTAAACCGTGAAACTTGAAATGCCCTGAGCCCTCACCCTAAACCCTACAGACGGAAACGTGGTCTCGTTAACAAGTAGACTGGGAGTCGGGTAGGCCACAGCATATACCAGTACATGGGGACGACTATTGCTATCTATTCCGACCCCTGCAGCAAGCCCTAAAAACTGAAATTGACGCTAAACCGAAAAGCCACAGCATGGACGCGACACATACAGAAACAAACCACACACCACACCCAAGATGTTAAACCCCCAAGCCCTAAACCCAACAAAACATCTTAAACCAGCTCGATGTCGAATCTGGGGGCTTGTGCAAAACTATCGGCCCAGCACTTCTCCGGTATCCATGCCATAGTGACACAGTGTCAGGTGTTTGGGGCGTTCTTGGTAACCTCCAAACCACACAGATATAGAAGAACTACCCCATGTGATTAAGCCGCCGCTTCTCCCAGCTTGGAGGATCATGGGACTTAGTAAGTATGGTTACAAGTACCTTGATTGAGGTTATATGTACTCATAAGTATAGCTACCCTAGTTACCAAGTCCCATGATCCTTGAAGTAACCCTATGGAACCCTTAATTGTGGATCCCTTTTAAGGAGCCCTTTAAGGCAGTGTGGTTACTAAGTGCCATTGATCCTTCAAATAACCTTAAAACCCTCTTATAGAACCCTTGTAGATCCCTTTATATATATATTATATATATATATATATGTCTCTGGTATAATATATACCAAAACCCTATTCTAGTTACTAAGGCCCCTAAACCCTTATTTCTAAGATGCGCACGCAGCAAACACCGCCTTTCTGGGAAACGACCTCCTCACAGAGGGCTTCCACCTCGGAGCATCTTGGGTTCGGTTTTTTCGGGGTGTCGGAGCTTGGAGGGTTTAGGGTTTGGGGTATAGGGTTTATATAGGGTTTAGGGTTTAGGGCATAGGGTTTAGGGGTTTAGGGTTTGGGGTGCAAGGTTTAGGGTCTTAGGGGTTGGGGGTTTTAGGGGTTTAGGGGTTTAATGGCTTAGTACAAGGTGGAGGGTCTTGTGTTTTACGGTTCGAGCGCACCAGCCAGAAAACCCAAATCGCAGACCCTAAACCCTGTAAGATCATAAATCCCACCACCCTACTCTAATTATTGAGGTGCTTGCTCTGAGTCAGTTTCGGACATTTTGTTCTTTGGCTTCCCCTGCAGACGGTAAGGCTCGGAGACGACTCCTCGAAGGTGTGTGGCTTTGGTGCGTAGGGCTGCCCTAGTATAGGGGCCTTCATAAACATGTTATAGGGTTTAGGGCTGCCCCAGTATAAGGGCCTTAACAATTAGAGTAGGGTGGTGGGATTTATTATCTTACAGGGCTTAGGGTCTGCGATTGGGGTTTCTGGCTGACTCAGAGCAAGCACCGGAGGCGCAGAGTACTCTTATGATTGCCTGATTGTTGGAGTTCTCAGCCCAGAGGGTTTCGCGCGCATCATTTGAGGCGCTTCAGTCGTCGGAGCTTCAGACATAATATCACAAAAAGTGTGCAGAATGATAAATAGTCATAGGGTATAATGTAACATATGTACTATAGTATAAATATAGCATGACATAATGGGATCATAAGAGCTTTGGGGCTGTTGAGTTTCAACTGCTAGGTGACTTGAGGTCTCCGATGCTTTAACCCGTAATTCATACCTGAAAACCACAAAAACGAGGAGGACTGCGTGAAGTGAGCGCTCTTTTTCAGAGACCCGTTCGCCTATTCTGACCTTTATTTTAGCGCCTCCCAGAAACGATAAGTCAAACTTGATTGCCTCAAGTTGAGGGTTTAGGGAAATTAAGGTTCAGGGCATCTTAAGCCCTAATCCCCAAATGCCAAATCCTCAGCCCTAAACCCCTAAACTCCACCTGACCTGCCGAAAGCATGCCCTTCGACATTCAAATTTCTCAGAATCGGAGATTTCGAAAATTGGGGGATACCTTAATTATTTCGGGGTCCGTACAATAAGGATCCTACTACTTAACTAGACCCCCAACTACCCTCTAATATATCCCAAAGACCCACTATTCAGGACCATAAGCTAAAGGGCCATTGGGGGGTCCTGGTAGGGTACTATATTACTTGGAGGGGCAGGGGACTTAGTCAGTATGTTACAAGCAGGGTTATAATTGGGGTAAGTCCATTTAGGGTACTTAGAACCCTACTTATAACCTACTTACTAGGTCCCCTGCCCCTCCAAGTAAACCCTAAACCCCATAGATCCCTTTAAGGAACCCTATAGTAGATCCCTATAAGGAGCCCTTTAGTTACTAAGTCCCCTGCCCCTCCAAGTAGGGTCCCCCATTTTCAGAAACGCTCAAAATCGGCCTCGTCATCGGTGAGACCTACGATGGAGATCATCTTCTGCGGCTTCTCCTAGGATTCTTAGGGTTTTAGGGTTTAAGGGTTTAGGGGTTTGGGGTTTTAGGGTTTAGGGTTTAGGACGCTTTCAGGACTCTTGGGTTCAAAGCTTTCAGGCTGTGGGGGTTTGGGCATTGAGGGTGTGAAGATGAAAGTCAGATTTGAGCCCTTGGTTTAGGGTTTAGGGTTTAGGGTTTAGGCTTAGGGTTGCTAGGAAAGGGCGTAGGTAAAAACCGCAACTGCAACTCCTCTGCGGCTGCCTTCGTCCCTAAGCCCAAAACTCTGGGGAACCCCACAAACCGCAAAGCCCGAACTCCCTAAACCCCGTAAACTCCAACTCCCTAACCCTAGACCCTAATACAAGGGACTGGATAATTGAAATAGGGTTTTGGGCCAAAAAAAGTCTATGCTAAGGAACTCCCAAAATAGTATAGGCAATCATTATAAGGCCCCTATAGCCCTATATTATAAACTCTAAAACAACCTCGACGCTCCCCAGTTCTCTGCAGCAAATCTTCGAAAGACTCAGGGTTCAGGGTTCACCCTCTGAGAGTTTCGGCGTCAGGACATGTTGTGTTGATGGCCCTTTTTGGCGCAACACGATGTAGGGTTTAGGGTTAGGGCCTGGGGTTCCCCTTAACCCAAATTATGGTTCAGAAAAGTTAATCCTTCAGACACGGACGACTGTTGAGCAGTCAAGTCACATGCCTCTCAGCTGCGGCCTTCATCGCCTCCCCCAGGCGCCGGTGCCAAGGAATAGCATCCCAAAAGAATTAGGGCTTTAGGGTTTAGGGCTTCGGGTTTAGGGTTTTTGGGGTTAAGGGTGGTCGAATGCAGGGTTTCCATCAGTTGGATTGCTATTATGGTTTGGGCAAGTATCCCCCATATAGGTACTTAGGACTCTTTGGGTATATCCGTTCAGAAACACCGGCACGGACGCGTACCTGGCCTTCTGCTTCGGGCTCAGGGATTTGGTGGCATTAACCAATCTTGGGGTTGTAATCACCATTCCAACAGGGTTTTTGGGTATACAAACCCCTCAACCCTAAAACCTAAACCGAGGAACAAACCCTAAACCCCAAACCTTACAAACCCTAAAACCTAGACCGAGGATTCCCCCCCCCTCTTATGGGAGTTTCCCAAAATTCGGGGGACCTTTATTTGGAGACCCTTATAATAAGGATCCTGCTATTTAGGGTGCTGTATTGGGATCCCCAATTTTCCGGAAACTCCCGTATTGGCCCTCAAGACTTCTGGAAAACTTGTCGATTGGCCCGGCCTCGCCGCGGACCATGGCCAGTCGCACACCGTCCTCACCAATCACTCGGATAATGCAGGAACCTAGGGCCTAAGGGTTCCTTGAAAGGGGTCTACAAGGATTACTATAAGGGATCTATAAGGGTACTATAAAAATCCAGGAAACTGGGACCTTTAAATTAAGGTTCCTTATGTGTAGCCTGCTATTTTGGGGTTATAGGCCCTGGGCTTCTTAATCAGATTCCTACATTCCTGCATTATGGAGCTCAAAGCTTCGGGTTGCTGGCTTCAGGGTTTGGTGGGTTTACGTAGGATTTGTGCTTCGGGGGATTCGGGGCTTCGGATCTCGGCGTCACAATGTGGAAGGCAGCGCAAGTCCAGGCAAGACTGATCAGGGACATCTGCAAGTTTCATAAGGACCCTTAGGGTAAGGGCCGCAACACTGAGAAAAGGACGTAATAAGGCCTATTTACGGACGTATCGCCCTCCCCCCCACCCCCCTAAGGGTCCCTATATCAAATCTCAGAGCGAACCGCCTGAAGCCCCTGGACATACGCGAGTAGGGGCCGCTAAACGTTCTCAAGATCCAAGGAGTTCAAGCCAACGGGAACTCAAGCAGCCCACCAAGCCTACAGGAGCCGTCTCTGTCTCTGTCTCTGTCTCTCTGTCTATGTCTTTGTCTCTCTGTCGGTGTCTCTGTCTCTCACTCTGCCTCTGTCTGTCTCCCTCTCTATCTCTCTCTCTCTCTCTCTCTCTCTCTCTCTCTCTCTCTATGTATTTACATGTATACACACTAGGTATATACACACACATTATGTGTACACGCAAGGGTAACACCCAAGTTTACACGGCTAATTCACACCTTTCTGAAGCGCGAAGCATGCGCGATAAGGGATGTGCGCAAAAGCGGACCCGAGTATGAGACAGTATGAGCGACTCTCCAAGAACAACCGCAGCCCCAAACCCTTGACACGAGGACCCCCCAAGGAACAACCGCCACTTGGAGGATCATGGGACTTAGTAACTTTGGTGAGAAGTCCCTTGATGGGGGTTATAAGTAACTATATGTACAGTTACCCCGATAATAACCCTAGTTACTAAGTCCCATGACCCTTCAAGAACCCTAAACCCAAAACCCTATCAAGCCCTATAGATCCCTTTTAAAGGATCCCATGATCCTTCAAGATAAAGCCCTATATATGGTCTCGGGTCCCGGGCCCCCACCCCCCCCCCCCCCCCCCCCCCCATGGTATCCCCCCCCACCCCCCCCGCGCCGGAGGCATGTGACTCCCACGTAAAGGCTCCAAAACCGTCAACTGTCACGAGGATGGCGCCCCTCACCGTGCACGTCTCCCACATGAAGGCACCAAAACCGTCAACTGTCACGAGGATCGCGTCCCAAACACGCCCGATCCTTGTGACAGTGGACTTTCCAACCACGACTCGTACATGAGGGGCAACTGTGAAGAGGACCGCGTCCCTGACAGGCCCGATCCTCGTGACAGTTGACCCAATTGTCAGGAAGATCGCCAGTGTGACACAAGATAAATAAACAGAAAGGAACGACATGATGATGATCATGGTTATCATGTTCATGATGATGGTGATGATGGTAATGGTGATTATTATACCAAACAGCCCAAGCAGGCCCAAACCCCGAAGCACGTCACACCAGGGGAGAGGCACCCCACGCAGAGCAAAACGCCGAACCATGCCACACCACAGGGGGGGAGGGGGACCATCATGTTCATGATCATGATGATGATGATGATGATGCTGATGATTAGACAAAACACCCCAAGCAGACCCAAACCCCGAACCACACCACACCACAGGGGAGGGGGGAGGCACCCCACGCAGACCCAAGCATTCCAAACCCCGAACCACCACACCACAGGGGGGGGCAGCGGACCATCATGTTCATGATGTTCATGATGCTGATGATGATGCTGATGATGCTGATGATGCTGATGATGCTGATGATTATACAACACTCCCCAAGCAGACCCAAACCCCGAACCACACCACACCACAGGGGGGGGGGGGAGGGGCACCACACCATGGGGGTGGGGGGGGAGGGGGGGGGGTGACAGCCCGGCATCATATATGGATCCCTTTTGAACGACCCCTTATAGATCCCTTTAAAGGATCTCATAATCCTTCAAGAACCTGTCTCTGGACCGGTCCGCGAAGTCGAAGCATCCGGCGGCGCAAAGCGCTGCGAGCTCCCCGCAGGAAACTCCTCAAAGGGTTCAAAGTACCTATATATCTGTCTATCTATACATTTATATGTATATATACATATATATATACACATACATACATATATATATATATATATGGGGCTCCAGGTAGCCCAAGGTAGATACTATCTGTGTACTTGGAGGGATACAGTCGGACTTCAAAAGGTTTAGGAGCTTCTGGTTTGCTTTTCAGGGCTTAGGAGCCGTGGAGATTAGGGTTTAAACGTCTTAGGGTGTAATTATTAATGTAATATAAACGTGGGAACACTGTACTGAGTGTCACAAAAATACCCTCTTCTCACAAAAATATCCTCTTCTGATAATGGAAATGTAACTGCATACTGGAATACACGCTGCATATTCTAATTACCAAAGCCTCAGCATTAGGCCCCAAGTAGGGTTCTGGGTTTAGTTTAAGCTTGTTGTTGAACATGCGGACTCCGAACAACATTCTGAGGTAGAGTGCTGAAACCTCACCGGAACTGTCTCCTTGCGCAAGTGGTTCGGCTTATGGCATGGTTTTGTTTTGGGCAGACTTCCGGCTATCAAGGTTTCGCTGTCTTGAACTGGAGTTTTAGCTGGCAAACGTACAGCACTGTCTGTGGCACGCAGACCAGCCTACTTCAAGGATCATGGGACTTAGTAACTAGGGTCATGTTTAAGGTAACTATACTCAGAACTACATACAACCCCAATTAAGACACCTATAACCATACTTACTAAGTCCCATGATCCTCTAAGTAGGGCGGTTGGGAGAAAGGACTCCTGGAGATGAACTCGCGATACAGAAAGCAACAGCTCTTTTCTGAGATGCTGCTGCAGCCGTTTAGCGCGCGTGTCGCTAAACGGCTGTAAGGGCTTTCCGAATTGGAATGGTGTTTTGGTTGGTCATATATATATATACATATACATATACATGTATATATATATATACACATAAATATCTATGATCGCCCCCCCAAGATCCCCCAAGCCTAAACCGTGAACCGCTAAACCCTTGCAACCCCAACACCGCCGAACAAAAGGAACGTCGTCATGCAAAACCACTTGCTCCTGCTGCGGCCGCGGCATCCGACTGGTCCCTGCCCTCCTGCTCCTCTGAAGGATACTTAAAGTATCATGGGACTTCGTAACTCGGGTTATTATTAAGGTAACGATACTTATGATTGCTTATAACCCAATTAAGCTGAAGGACATGGGGGTTTCATCAAAATGACGGGCCCTTATCGGGTCTGTATTGTAGTTTCTTCCTTATAGTCTAGGGGACCAGAAGGGGCCCACATATTAGGGTCCTGGGTCCTTATTAAAATACGGCACCTGGTATTTAAGGTGCCCAAAAAGGGACCCTAACTGACAACCACCCATATGTCTCTGCATGTATAGAGGGGGTCCCAGTACAAATTCAATACAATGACATACACGTTCTAAACCTGATCCCTGTACCTCGACTGTATCAATCTACGACAGAAGCACTGGGCGTGGCGATTGAATCTTCCACTTCAGAAAAGAAAACTCAAGACATCCTCAAGAAGGTTTCTCCAAAGAAGCTCCTTGAGATATTGCAGACCGCACATAGCAGCAACAAAAATCGCGGGCTGGCACACCTCGGGGAGTCCGGCACAACGCGGCTTCACGAGCGAGAAGTTTCCAGATTGTATTAGGGTTTAGGGGTTAGGGGTTTAGGGGTTTAGGGTGTAGGGTTTAGGGGTTTAGGGTTTAGGGTCTAGGGGTCTAGGGGTTTAGGGTTTAGGGGTTTAGGGTCTAGGGGTTTAGGGTTTGACTTGTGTCTTGGTCTCTTGACTACGACGACGACTAGTCCTCGTGCTCGAGCTTCAACTACGGCTTCGGCTGCTGCTCCTGCTACAACCACAACCACCACCACGACAACTCCTACTACGAAGGCCGCAACGGAGACGAAAACGACGACAATGGCGACGGTATTTACTTCTGTTTCTTTGCTGGCCCATGCTGCTTCAGACAGAATCATTGTCTTTCATTCAAGTAATCTCAATAGCTGATATCAGCCTAAGATGATGCAATATCGCGTACTTTCGAAGTTAGGTTTCCGGAAACCAGTCTCAGATTTTACTCAATAGGGACACAACGGAAGCCTCTGACGGTTAACGGTTTGACTCCACTCTTCAGGATGACCGTTAAAGCAGCTCAGGCGCATCCACCTGATCGAGGCGCTCTTGGGGTCCAATCTCCTGGGACATGACAGCTAATGTTGGGGCCTGCATGGGGGGCCCATTGTACGCACTATACTATAACAAGGAACCACCAAAATGCTAACAAAGGTGCCTGAATGACTAGGGGAGCTCTTTATGTATATACTTATAATCTAGTATAAACCAAAACCCATTCCAAGTATTAAGACATCCATATCATGCCCTTCGCAGGCTTCGGAGGCTGAAGTAAGGTGGGATCCTCAGTAGGGGGGGATTCGATTTCTTGCTTTCAGGCGCCGCCACCCACAGGCAGCCAGGGGCTAATATTATGGGTCAGACGCAATCACCACAGCAACTCTCGCCCGAGGACAACGGGCTAAGGTCATGGTGTCCGAGAGTTGGTGGTATATGTTATACCGTAAAGTGCACACGATATGAGTGAAATTGTCCCTTGCATATTGCATCTGATGTGGTTGTATTTAAAATTAGTATAAGCGGATCGGCACCAGCAGTTGAATGAGCCGCATGTAGCATCTTGCAGATCAACAAAATCATCCTAACGGTTCGGCTTCCCCCGAATCCCGGCAGCCCACACCGCTTCTCAACAACAACATGCCAAGCCGGGCTGACTACTGGGGGAGGGTCATGGGACTTAGTGACGTATGGTTGTAAGTACCTTAATTACATGAGCTAATTTGATAACAACCCTGGTTACTATGTACTCCGATCCTGTTATTCGAGTACCAGTGCAGGTGCCCATGCTGGCAAGTCTCTGTGATGTCGAAGAGGTCGTAGCCCAAGATCTCGCTGGCCTCTATCGGCATCCCAGAATTCTCTGGGCAGCTTTTTTCGTGGATTGCTAATTTACACTAGCGGTTGGTCCAGATTTTAACGGTTGGTCTAGGGTTTCCGGGTTTAGGGTTTGCGGGGGACTGTGTTGCTCTTATCACGCCGCAGTTCTGAGCTTGCCGTGCCGGTTGCGCAGACTGCTCGCTCTGCTGCAACACCTACTGGCCTCAATAAAGACGGCCGTAAATCCTAACACCTAAGCCCGAAAGCCTGAACCCTGAAAACCTTTCTTGAGTCCGAATTTCAGAGTCCCGTGGTTCAAAGAAAAAGTGAAAGCCCTGTCACGACTTGGCAGCACAGACTTTCCCGATTTTCAACGTTCTGAAGCACCCATACGACGGAGATCAGCAGTCAAAGCACTATCCTACGGCTACTATAGAATTGCCGCCAGAGTTTGTCTACCGGTTTTAGAACGCAGTATGCGTGAGCGTGAGAGATAGCAGAGACGGGGCGAAAGCGTACGTTTTGCTCTCTGCTTTGATGAAGTTCATGTGAACTTCCATGGCGCATGCACAGACAAACAGATCCTTTGTCCGGAAATGATCATGTTGGGTGCACCTTCTCGATCATGGGCCAAGCTGTTTCGTGGCCTTCCTCAGAGGACTGGAGGTGGAACATTGTAGGGTGCCGAGTTTCAAGGGTTTCAGGCAGATCGGAGGGGCTGTGATTGGGTTCGGGTTTAGGTTTAGGTTTAGGGGTTTGGAGGTTTAGGGTTTAGGGGTTTAGGGGTTTAGGGGTTTACAGGTTTAAGGGTTTAGGGTTGTGGTGCCCGCAAGGTCTTGACTTTTAAAATTCTCGGCAGGCTCACCCGCATTCAGGTACTTCAGGCCGCCTCGAATTGAGTTTCAGGGCTCAGACTTGAGGGCCTACAGGGCCTAGGATTGTTGACGACACCGTGTGGTAGACAGCATGCGACGGAAGATCTGTAACTCTGCCTGGAAGATTTCTGAATCCCCGGAAGCTCCCGCCCCAAGGAGCCCCAAGTTCAAAACCTGCGTTACAAGCCCAAATCTGCAACCTCCAAACCCTGCTCCGGAACCTTAACCTGGCATTGCGCTGTGAATAAACGATGGGAAAACACACAAAAAAAGCCTCCAAGCCGAAGCACAGTGAAACTACACACGAAGGTGTGGCGCAGGGCTCAGACGGTTTAGGGTTTAGGGACTATGTGAGAGTTTCCGAAAAAAAAATTAGGGTCCCTTGTTTTCGGAAACCACATGTGTTGGTTGAACTTTGGTGTCAAAGACTAATGATTTTCATGACGGCGGCAGCCAAGGCTTTACCCAAGCCGCTCCGAACCCCTACCTGGACCCCAAATAACCTTCTGCTTTAGATTATGATGTCTTTATTATATGTCCTTGAAAAAGCTGGGTTATTTTTGGAAACGGTCAGTCCAAAGCCCTAAACACAGACACACAGAAAAGCCTGACACTTCGTTGCAAGGCTCTGCCCAGCCGAGCATGCCAGGCCTTTGAGAGCCTTGGCCAGGAAACCTGAGCCGCCAGATTCCCAGGCCTTTGGCTTCATATGGTAGTTTCAGAAAATAAGGGGTGCCTTATTTGGGGTTCCACTATTTAGGGTACTATGTTAGGGTCCCCTATTTTCGGAAACTCCCATATAGGGGGCCGGATAACTTGCTATACTATACACCGAAACCCTACTCTAACTGAGAAGACCCGGCGTATTGACGATTAGAAGTCTGGGAGTCATGTTTGGGGTTAGGGGTTTGGGGGCATTATTCGGATCGCCGGCTGCTTGTCCAAATGGTGACTACAAACCTGGATGCATAAACCATAAACTCTAAACCCTGAAACCCCAACCCCTGGACATGACCTTGCAAACTCGTGGGGTTTCCATGGCACTTGAAATGGGGGGTACGAGCATGAATGCAAACCCTGCATGGACATAGACCTCGACAGTATGTAGAACAACAAGGGGTTAAGAAGTATGGCGAGCCTGAAAGCCCTAAAACTCCGAACACCCTGAACCCAGGTGCCTGTTTGTATCGTCGGAGCTTCAGAAAAGCCACAAGAGTGCGAAGGAAGGAGGGAGATCTTGCAGCATGTTCTTGACGTAGCCCTTCGGAAACGGCAGCCCCATCCGTTCCTGAACCAAGACATCTGTTTTGAGTGGGTGTATTGTACAAAAAGGATCATGGGACTTAGTAACTAGGGCCACTATTGAGTTTTCAATGCGATAATTACTTAGAGCCCTAGTTACGGTACTTATAACCATGGACCATACTTAGTAAGTTCGATGATCCTCCAAGTAGGGTTCAACTTCCTGGCTCGAGGCTGCGACCCGAATCAGACTAAACACGAAGCCATATTCGCCATCATCATGGCTAACACGGTACTTAAGTCATGGCCTGCACAAAAGCTAGAACAGTTGCCAACCACTCGCAACCATCGTAGTAGTTGGCCTCTCGAAATCTCGGATTTCTTCGCTTCTTTAGAGTTGGGCAGTCTTGTTGTAGGGTTTAGGGTTTGGGATCTACTGTTCTTACAGACACAAGCCACATCTAGGGCCCAGGGTTTAGGGCTACACTTCTCCTTGGCCCACAGGGGCCTCAGTACCTTATAACTGAATGTAAGGCTTCCATATAAGGAATTGCTACCATGGTTTGGGAAGTATTCCACCTAACAGTATTTAGAATCTGTTTATAGAAGGGCTCCGGTCTTCAACCCTAAACCCTCAACCCCTAAACCCCCTAAACTTCCTGAAACCCTAAACCCCTATACCCCGATCCCTAAACCCTAAACCCCTAAACCCCAAACGCTAAACCCTAAACCCCGATCCCTAAACCCTAAACCCCAAACCCTAAACCCCGATCCCTAAACCCCCAAAGCCCTAAACCCCCTGAAACCCTAAACCCCTAATTAAGCCCTAAACCCTAAACGCTGCAACCCAAGGATCGGTGAGCATGTTCTCCAGCTCTCGGCCTTCCCTGAAGGGAGCAGAGATTCAGGGCTTTCTTTGGGGGGGTTTAGGGATTCGGGTTGAGGGTTTTGAGGGCTCAATTAGGGGATTTAGGGCTTTGGAGGATACAGGGTTGAGGATTTTGAGGGTGTAGCGAATTTTGAGGGTTTAGGGGGTTGAGGGTTTATAAAGTTTAAGTTGGAAATTTGGCAGGCCGCTGAGTTCAGGATTCGGGTTTGGAGCTTTTCCGGGATCTGGTTGTTGTGACTGAGACCTCTGCCCTAGTACATGGGGAGGACAAAAGTTTTGATCTACCGGATGTGTCGTGTCTTAAGTCGTCTTGCGGAGTGGCGGAGTACCTACAAGTGCGATTTACGTGGCCTGGCCGGCGAAGTATTCTATACGCCGATTTAAGTGTACACACTTTCATGTTCCGGAGGAGTAGCCGGTTGGTCCCGTTTGTTAGGATTCTTTGGGTGAGTTGGGGGCCCGTATTCGACGAAACAAGGAGCAGGTCACACTTTCGTCCTACCGCAGTGTGGGCTCCACATGCCTTTTCCCGGTTAGCTGACCGTGGCCATGTGCCATGCAAGTGAAGTTCCACCAAGCTGCGCAGTTTTTGGTTCAGAGTTTAGGGTTTAGTAAGTAGGGTTATATTTGGGGTTATACTAGGTTCCTGAGAAGTACCCTTTTGCTCCGGCCATAACCTGCACCTTAAACCCCTGAATTCAACAGCGATTCCACGAGGCCCTCGTGCTTAGCGACAGCAGCAACCGTAACCTCAACCTATTTCTCTGTGCTCCCAAGGACCTGATAGAGTAGGGTTTAGGGCGCAGAACCCAAACTTTAAAACCCGAAACCCCCCAGAAGGCCGTGCCCTAAGACACGACTGACAAACCAAAGCCTTAGGTTCCGGGCCCTTACGCCCTAAACCCTACCAGCGTCACGAGATGGGTTCGAGTATAGACATTCTAGGACTGCAACCACAAAAGCCCTAAACCTCCAATGCCCTAAACCCGAGCAAGTGAGAGAATGACAAAACAGCGAAACCCTCAACCCCAAAACCCCTAATACCCCTCATCCCCTACCCCTAGTACCCCCAATACCCCTATAGGACCCCTGAAACCCCTGAACAAGTGAGAGAATACTGCGGTAAACATCAGCCAAAAAGGAGCCTCTTGGGCCGGCCCAACTCGATGGAGAGCACCGTTTTACCATCCTTCCGGCCGTTTTCGAGGCTTCCCTCTTGTAGGGCTTGGGCTTAGGGTTGACGGTTCAGGGTTTGGGGTTTAGGGTTCAAGGCTTGGGGTTTCGGGTTTGGGGGTGTAGGGTTTATTGCCTGAGGCGTAGGCTTCGGAGAGGTTCTTGGGAGCACAGGGATGTTGAGCGGGTACAGGCTTAGGTTTACAGCTTTGGGTCTCGGGTTTTGGTATGTTTTGGTGCTCTGGGCCTGTTGTACCGGCAAACTCCTGCTTGAGTAGGTCCAAGCACCAATAAGGGAGGAATAACGAAGACCACGTCCTATATGACTTTGATGGGAGGCCAAAACGGGGGCTTCAAGATTCTTGGGGTAAGGACTCCTTAATATGAACTCTTTTATGGGAACCTTAATCCCTACCCCCATAGGCTAAAACCCCCTTTGGCCTCCTATGAGACTTGGAGCAAGTCCTGCGTGAGGTTTCGGGCTGCGGGATGGGTGGTCTTTACAGAAGCACTTGAGAACCCTTTCGAAGGAGGCCTGCAGTCAATAAGCCCCTAAACCCTGAACCCCAAACCGCATTACCAAGTCAGAGGGTGGTGGTTTCATGGCAGGGGCTACTCTTATTTTGGATTCCCAGTTCAACTAAACCCCGTGGTAGACCCTAAACTCCAAAACTCTACACCCTGAACTCTAAACCCCTACACCCTAAACCCCTAGACCCTACACTCTGAACTCTGAAACACACAACTCTAAGCCCTGGCATCCTTGGTCCGGGCGTTCACGTCTGCCTTCTCCTCGATCAAACCTCGTCGGAGGACCATGCCATAGCAGCATATAGTACGGTGTAACCTAGTATAATATGGTATAGTAATATGTAGTATAATCTAATATAGTATAGTATATTCGAGTAGAACATAGGATTCCCACTAAGCTTGGAAGCCTTACTGTTACATGCGCATTCCTCACTAGACGTGTTGGTAGGTTTCTTCAAAAGTTCTAGGGCTGTGGGCTTTGAGGTTTATGTAGGGCTCGTCAGGACAGGTAAACCACCAAAGGGACCGAAGGACACAACCGAAACCTGCTGCTTAATATGTTGTGTCTCAAGCTCTGATGCCTTGAGCATTGCTTGCTCTTTCATTGTTTCTTAACTTGGTTTCTGCATCGCAGTCATCCGTCGTTCTTCGGAGCTGTCGTCATCGTGACTCGTTCTCACAACCTCATGCTGTGCGGATTGGAGCATCGGTGGGGCGATCACATCATGAGCTCTGAGATGCCTTGGCTCTTGTCAAGAGTATGGCAACTTAAAACAGTCAAGATCAAGCCTACATCCCACAAGCACACACCGACAAATGGCACACAATAGAAGCCCAAAGACAGCAAGTTCGCACCATATTATACCTGGACGACCTCTAAGAGTGCTACTGTTGATGATAAGAACCCTGCATTACCTTAAGGACCCTAAACTACGGGAATTATGGCATATTCCCTATTGTGGGGAATGCAGGATTTGCATCATCAACCGTAGCAGTAGGAAGATGAGCTGACGGAAATGTCCGGATATGGTTTTTGCGGCATCGGTGCGACGGCACCACTACTCATGGAATTTGTCCCTAGTAGGGGTGTTAGCAATTCCAACAAATTCTGGGGGCATGTTCGTTTAAGATCATACTAGGACGCCAGGAACCCCGGTTAGCTTTATGAACCATGCCAGCAAACCTTTGGCCAGTTCGTCACAGCCAGCGGCAACGGCGTTGTGCAGCGGTGTTCGCCCCAGCTTGTCCTGGTCAGGCGTGTGCTTGGAGGATCATGGGACTTAGTAACTAGGGGTCCCGAGACGGCTATGGTCCGTTTCTATCAAGTTAGGGTTTAGGGTGTAAGGCTTAGGGCTGGGCTTAGGGTGTACGACTAAGTATATACTATCTATGTATAAATATCACTATATCAGTTCGCAAAACAGATAGGTACAGGTTGGGTCATCCACTTTGTGGTCGCTACTGAAAGCTCGGAGTGGCACTCACCAAGCATCGCTTCACGGCTTCGACATCGGCTTTTCCGGCTGCTTGCAGAGGAGTTTCCGAAAGTCAGGGGTACTTGTTTTGGGGTCCTTTAACAAGCATCCTACTATTTAGGCTATTTAGGGTACTATATTAGGGTCGCCTATTTTCGGAACTCCTACATACCTTAGCAAAAGAGGACGGACGAGACTGGTCACCCCCCCTTGCCCTCAAGTGAAAATCTCCTCTGAATGTATATTATTTTTTTTGCCCCAAGCTCTAAACCCTTATCGCAAACCCTTCCCTCCCCCTGGTCTCTTGGGCTTCTTAACGACTCTTGGTGTGCCTGAACCTGGATGTCGGCCATCCGCGCGATGAGGTAGCCTACGCTTGAAAGATTGGGGTGTAGCGTAGGGCTTTAGGGTGTTACGAGTAGAGCTTTCGCGTTCTTTAGGGTTTAGAGTACCTGGACCCCAAAAGTATGTAGAATAATTGCCTCTTATAGGTTTTGGGCTATTATTTTACCTACCTTTGAGGGTTTAGGTAGGGGACTTAGTAAGAATGTTCTTGTTTTGGCTGTTTTTGTTAGCTTCGTTCTGCTACCCGCCCATCCCAGGATGGCTAGCAATGCCGTGTATCAGCCCTCAACAGAGCGTGTTTAGGGATTCAAAGAAGTGCCTACATGGTTTAACCGATGTAAGATCGTACAAGGTAACCCAAAGAAGGAATGCTAAACCTTAAACCCTAAACCCACAATGGAGACTGGAGGTCCGGAGGTAGGGCTGTCATAGCCTATGCTTGCAGGGTCCAGGGCGTCGCGGGAATGGGCGATATAACAAGGGTTCAATCAATGGGGCTCTGTTCTGTCTTTTTGATTTCGGTTCTATTGAGAGGATGTCAAGGTGAGTTTTCGTAAATCGGTCATAAGCACCTACTCTATGCTTATACCCCCGAACTGTCATAACCAAGGCATTGACACTAGAAGTCCTGCACCCAAAAAACCCAGTTCAAAAGCCTCGAAGCTTTAAACTCTTCAACCCCGCAAAACCTTGAAGCCGAAGCTGTAAGCCGTAAACATCCCAAACTCCAAACATCGAAACAGGCGCCTGACAGCATGAGGTTCCCCTTGGAAGCCGCAGACAGTAGCGGAGTCCACCCGAACTTGTTTCTCTGCTCCACATCGGCCTTCAAGGTGCAGCTTCAGGCTTAAGCTGCAAGGTTTGGGGTATAGGGTTTAAAAAGTTTAGGGTTTCAGGGGGGGTATATAACTTGAGGCTGCGCGATGTAGAGGTTCAGGGCTTCAGTATATCGGACAGTTGCACGTCACATGGTAATGAACCCAGTAAGCAAGCTTCGGGGTGCCTTCTCTTCAAGCAGGTAGTGCACACACTCGGTGTGGCCATTCAACCTGGCGGCGGACTGGGCCATGTGCATCTCAACCCAGTTTCTGCTTCAGGGCTCTTTGGGCAATTCAAGGCTTCAGGGCTTCAGGGTTTATAAAATTTAAGAAACCAAGGTCAAAGGTCTTTAGTAACTTAGAGTGTCGATCAAGTCTCTTTGGAGCCGTCAGCCATGCTCGTGCCGCCGAAACCGTGCCGAGCAGCGTGGCAATCACCAACGGTTGTGACCCGAATTCTGGGTGTTGAAGATCCAGCCTTGCATAAAGTGACAGTTGTAGTGATGCTGGCCAGGGCTGTTGTCAACAAGGGCGAAGAACGATACGTGGTGAAGCGCACTGGCAGCAGCACGATTTATCGAACCAATGAAGCGGAAGAGGAAGACTAAGACTGACTCTGATGAACCAACATACGAGTTGAGAACAACAGAAAGCCTGGTCTTTACCCATGGGCAAAAACGGTTTCAGTTCCAACATACTCACATGTTGTCATGTTGCGTATAGTTGGGTAGTTGTCAACATTATGGACCCTTTTTAGGTACCCTAAATATTAGGTGCCGTATTATAATAAGGACTGAGAAAGGGAGCATAATTTTGACAACTACCCAGTTATGGTCTGCCCTGGAGGCTTCGAGAGGGGCGTCTCACAGGGAGCTTCCTATTTAGGGTTTAGGGTTTGGGGCTATAGCACCGGATAGCACCAAATGCCAAAGACAGTTCCACGGAATGGAGGACTGATTTTCATAAGTCGGGTTATGGTTCGGAGATGTTTCGGGTTTAGGGTTAGGGTTTGTGTTCGGGTTCCACGGGCAGCTTTCTGCAAGCCACGCGTCATCCGTAGAACAGGGCGTTTAAAACCAACGGTAGAAACCCTGTTTTCAGCCCCGAAGGTTCAGATCCTCAGAACCTGAACCAGCCGTTCTTAACATCTTCGAGGAGCTTTGCGCCCTCAGCGCAGGCAGCTGCGACGCCCTCGATGTCGCCGTCCTCACATGAACACGGCTTCGAGAAGCGTGCAAAGTTTTTAGGTAGGAGGGTAAGTTGCGACCTGACAAACACTCCCCCATTATTGCCGTCATCGTCATCTCCACCATCATCGACATCGACATCGGCATCGTTAGCACCATCGCCGTCGCCATCAGCTTGCATGCAGCCGCCAATCCGGCAATTGCTGTTATTGGTACGTTCAGCCCGCTTAAACTGCAATCTGGCTCCGTCGCTCCCGACACCATATGCCACAAATTCCAGCCCATGGACCGCCTAAAGTCAAGAATCCCCCACACCCGAGTTAGCCTTATCCTTTAGTACGAAGCCCTGACACAAGAAGCAACGAATGCGTGTTTGGCCATTCTTGAGCGTGCAACTTGTTAATGCCTCTCGTTTGGGTCGAGGTCATGGCTCGGCACTGAGACGTCGCTGTTGGTGTTTCAAGCAGGGTGTACGTCAGTACTGAGCCTTAATTTGCAGGAACGGCGGAGTTTTTTCTAAAAAACCGGACCCTGCAGGACCTTACGCCCTAAACCATTGTCCTTAGACCCGAAACTGTCTCAACCCTAGGCTAACACTTTTTCTATTTCCCTCTCTCTGTCTCTCTCTCTCTCTGTCTCTCTGTCTCTCCGTACGTATGTTTCTATGTATGTATGTATGTATGTATGTCTGTATTGTCAAACTTACATATTGCAACATAAATAAATGAGGAAAGAAACAAGTATGTAAAATAAATATACATACATATATACATACATTGAATAAATCTTCATACATACACACCTATTTATACACACAGTTGGATATCACATATAGCCTGAAAGCGCTTCAGAGGTCCTTGGCAGCCCGGTACAGTCTGCCCTCGGGCGTCAAGGCAAAACGTTGACCTTCGGGACACTCCCCGGCTTTTCGGGTTTATGGGGTTTAGGGTTTAGGCGTTTAGGGTTTAGGGGTTGAGGGTTTAGGGGTTTAGGGTGTAGGGGTTGATAAAGTTTTTCGGGTCTTCCGGGCTCTTAGGGTTCAACTATCAGGCTTTATTCTGAGAGTTTGGGCTTAGGTCCGAGAGGGTTTGGGGCTTATAGGGCTTAAAGGGGTCAGAGATTATAAGGTCTGAAGTTTAAGTTGAGAGGGTTTGGGCTTGTGGGTTTTTGGGGGTATTTGGCTGGAAAGGTACATGGCTTCACATCGCAGATTCCCGACTCCCACTACTGTAATCTTCCTCCACAAATTTCACAAGTAAGCCCAACCTCACCCAACCGGTCACGTCACAGACTACAGCCGATTTGTCAACTTTCGCATAAACCCTGGACCCTTAGGCCCGAAACTAATCAGCTGCAAAGATCTCAGAACTCGCGCCTACGTTGAGCCGCGCTTTTCCCGGATTGGCGACCGCCATGGCGAGCCGGCGAAGATCAAGCAAAGAAAGCCCGAATATACAGAGTCGGAAGAATTAGTAATAGTATTCCTTTTCCGTACAGTATAACCGCAAGACTATACCCAATATAGTAGCGCAGGTGTGCTTTGCACAGCAGCTGCCGCATAGAACCCTTTGCGGGAAGCTGGTGCCACCAAAGCTAAAAGGAACGGCCGGCTTCTCAGCTGCTGCGTTGCAATAGCAGGCCTGTTGTTGAACGTGCTAGACATCTTGTCGACTTATGCGTGTATGAAACTCGTTGCAGCTAGCACTTTACTTCCGTGGCTTCAACTGGCATATAGGGCCACAGCTGCAGGTCATGCAAACAAGTGCGTCTCGGCCGACTCTCTGGAATGTTCTCAACCTGCGCATCCGTGCTCCTTATTGCACTCTAACTTTGCCCTCAAGCTACTGAAGCACTCAAAACCTATGCCCAAAGCTCGCTGGGCTATACGACTCCTGAAAATGGTCACCCCTGTCAATACCAAGGGAGCACCAACAATGCACAACGTGGACCGCCTATTCCGCCTGCAGCCCTCATATTAGAGTATAGTATAATGCATTACAGCACGAAGATGGTATACAGCCCCTGAAAGACCGGTAATTTTGCAGGTGGAATGCCTGAATGCCTAACTAGGTGAAGCAATAATAATAACAATACAATAATACCAGAAAGGGGAATGCTAGTAATGCAATATAGTAGTAACCATACCAGTAAAAGTAACAGTAGTAGCACTCGTCATCGTAATTGCAACAGCGAGAGTAATAGTAATTAATGGAGACCTGAAAGACATAAGCAGCCCTCGACAATGAAAGCCAGTGCTTGAGAACTCGGGTCTAAAGGATTTCGACAGCTGCATGTCGGGTGTCGAGGCATCCTGTGCCCTAGCGCTTAGGTTTTTTTTTTTGAGGGCCCTTTTCCTCCCTGCTACAGTCGGAATACCTAGTAGGTAGAGCCTGTAGGGGTTTAGGGTTCAGGGTTTAGGATAGGATTTAGGGTTTAGGGTCCTGCATCTTAAGGCAGGAATCAACGCCCTAGGATCCTCAACCACTCGAAACCCTCGAGCCCTAAACGCCTAAAGCCTTTAAAAAAAAGCTTATACCCTGCAATCTAAGTCGTTAATGTCCTAAACGCCCTCCGAAGACCTCAGAGCGCGAGAACCTCAACCCTAAACCCTAAACCCGAAGCCCTTCAACCCGAAGTACACCCTCGACGCCCTAGAGCCCCTACAAGCTTTTGAAGCCCCATGGTCCACTGGAACAGCGCCATGAACTCCCAGGCCAAACCTGAGCTAATACACAGTTTAGGGTTTCGGATTTAGGGGTTTAGGGTTGTTCAGGGCCTTCATAGTTCGAAGAGTGTTCCTTGAAAGGGCTTCATTTGCTGTCTCCATCAGGGATTTATGAGTTTTGTGGGCCTGGAGGGGCCTTAATAGTTGCAACAGGGTCTTGGGGCATAGTAGAGCATAAAATGCACTAGCATACCTGCAGTGATTAGTCATCATCTAGGCTTCTGTAACATATTTCTTGAAGGGTGATGCTGCCCAGTACGCAAAGACTAGGAAGGCAAGGTGGTAAAGAACCTTACCCCGGATGCCCAGCTACCTGGACAGCGGGTTCCTGTTGCTCAAACCCCGTTAAACCCCCTCAGTACCCGGAGCTCATTACCCCACTATTTGGGTAGCTGGGCTTTTCGCGTTAACTCTGGTTCCCCTAACGGTACAGGGTTTAGGGTTTTGCGACTCAGTGAGTATGGTTCTGAGTAGCTTACTGAATCAGGGGTTATATGCAATTCTAAGAAAACCGAACACCTCCCCCTCCGCTGCAAGAGAGCTCCCATAAACTTCTCGCCACGGCGCAAGGCCACACAATCTGCGACTTTGGCACCGATACCCGGGAGCTCGCCTTGGCATGCTAGAGCTTTGAGCTTAGGGTTTAGGGTAGAGTTTGCAAGATTCAGGACTCTCATTCCTAGGCTCTTTGTGGCCTTCGACATTTCGGCTTCAGGTCTGCATAAAGAGCATAAGAAAGCTGAGAAATCCCCTTTAAACCCTAATCTCTAAACTCTAACAGCCGCGGAGCAAAGCTCACGTCGCACGGCCAGGCGCCGCTCCTTCACCGCCTCAGGCCTAGGTCTCAACACATAGCATTGCTGTTGATTCGGTCGGTGTGCGGCATGACGGCGGTAGTAAGCATGCTTTTGATGATGACGATGCTGACGATGGTGCTCCTCGCCCTTATCATCATGATGATGAGCACCATCACCATCATCACCATCGTCTGCGGCAGCCTGGGCATCATCGTGGTTCCAGTCACCATCAATACCGAAGTTGTCATCACAGTCAGGCTTTCTCATGGCTGGAAAGAAGAATTGAAAACTGAGCGGTCCTGCCCCTGGTGGGCTGGACTGCATCGTAGACTCAAAGCTCAACAAACTTGCCACGAAGTACATGGGTGGTTGTCAAAATTAGGGTCCCTTTTGGGGTCCTTATTGTAATACGGCACCTTATATTTAGGGTACCCAAAAAGGGACCCTAATTTTGACAACCACCCATATGATCGACAGCGTTTAGGGCCTCTAGGGTCAGCGCATGCGAACAAACAGGCATTTCACCTCGAAGCAGACCCTGGTGCGCCGTAAGCCCTGTCTAGAAATCAGGATGGGGCTTTTACTGGGCTTTGAAGTAACCAGGGAGAAATAAGTATAGACTTTCATTTCATAATGGTTCCTTTTAAGTAACAGGTCCCGCAAAAAGTATTAAAGTATGGTACTCCAAAGCCCAGTTTACAAAAACTAACCGGAGACCCACTGCGATGCAGGAAAACCTCCTTGAAGTCAAGGAGAAGGCCAGGACACCGAAATGTCGACATCATCCAAAACTAGAGGTTAGTGCCATCGAACCCCGCCACCCGAAGGTGTTGCTTCAGGACGTCGCTGCACGCACGTACATGACCCCAAACCTTCCCCAAAAGAACTTCCTCAAACCTCAACCCCAAAACCGTCAAGGGAGGCCAGCCCCAATTAAATCTCGCCACCAAAGCAAAGTCAAGATTAGAGCTTCTGGGAAGGATTCTACGATGCCTATAAGAGTTTAGAGACTTCAGGGTTTAGGGGCTTCGGTTTAGGCTGTAGGGCTTATAACCTCAGAGTCTTTGGGAAAGATTCGACTACAACTACAATAGCTACAAACATTTAGGGACTATAATGTGAGACTCCGTCTGAATTTGCCAAGTTGCTCTTCAGGTGCGCTGGCATCTACCGGGCTCGCCGAATCAGCCCTTCCAGACAACGGCTTAAGTCTTTTTTTTTTCGGGTGTGTGTGTGTGTGTGTGTGTGTGCGTTTTTGGGGCTTGAGCGTTACCTTAAACTAACACAACCTACTTTATTGTAGGCTCTTATTATAAGCCCTAATATGCAATTTATGCGGACCCGGCAAAATAGTAGGCTTTGGTAGTTCATGGGTTTAGGGTTGCTTTAAGGTGTACGGTTTAGGGCAAAGCGCTCGGAATCAGTTTAGAGATATGGGGCGGAAAGAGAGAAAGAGAGAGAGAGAGAGAGAGAGAGAGACAAGGAGAGAGAGAGAGAGAGAGAGAGAGAGAGAGAGAAAGTGATAACACAAATCTCAGTTATGCAGGTTGTTATATCTCATTGAACTGCATTTTACTATCTTAGAATCGTCCATGGCAGATCTAGACTCGAAAGGCATGGCCCGATGTGTGTCCCTTGACCCTAAACCCAGCACCATGACAGGATCTTTGCTGCACAGTGGAGTTGGGATGCAGATTTCGGAATTCTCGCTCAAGACGAGCCTAAACCTGAAATTCCCTCCGGCGGCTTGCAAGCAAAAGAGTTGGACCCTGCTCACACCTCCCAGATCGCCACCCTAACATGACTAGACATATGTAGCCCAAGGCCCTGCAGTCCAACCCCGTCGCACAGCCCCCCAAACTGGAGAAGCTTACAAACAAAAAGGACGAACATCCCCCATGGTCCTTGACCCCTGAGCGCGGAGTTGAACAAGCATGCAGCGATGATCGCAATGACAGCAGATAAACAACAACATCACTACAGACCAATGCGCACCAAATACTGGTGGTTCGAGAGTAACGGTGATGAAGGAGAGCTTTGGTGAAACTGCGAACACTATGACATGACGTCCCAATATTGCAATGGCTTGGCCTAATGGTGCGGCTTAACTGATAGGCGACCAATCAGGCTTTCAATGATAACTTGTGCTTCAGCAATGATTCAGCAACGATCATGTTTCCGTGCCCCCGCCTTAAGCTTTGCAGCCACCGTAGCATACGGCCGTCCTCGTCTATGAACTCTTGCAGTTAGGCTTTCTGGAGTGGTTGGGGGATCTGTCCATCAATTTGCAAATACGTGTGTAAGCTGCCAGAAACGCAACGTGGTTTGTCTGATAGTCCGAGGTGATCTGAAGTGTCTAGATCTTTCAGGTGTCGGGAATGCACGGGTTTTGTGTTTGTGCACATCTAGGACGGGTTGGATTCTGGGTGGAGCTGCGAAATACCCTAATTACCAACTAAGAAAGGGGCATCTTTGTTCGAGGATTCCTTTCACGACTCGCCAAAGCTGCATATCAGCAGCACTGCGCCGCACACAGACCTACACAGGAAACTGTTTGAAAGACGGCCAACGTCACATCCAGGGGCCTCTTCCATGAGCCGTCGGGCAGCTTGGCTGATGTAGGCCTTGAAATCAGTTGAAGGTTTGTAACTATGCGGTTGAGCCGCTTTAGGCTTGCGGCGAGATGTGGCTGCTTCTCTGTGTGTAGAGAAGCTGTTTCGGCAAAGCCGAGGGTTCTGGATTAAAGGCGTGGTTTAACATGAAACTGAATTCCGGACAAATCCTACACTAAATTGTTCAAAAATCATCCCCATTACAACCCTAAACCCTTCAACGAGACCTACCCAGCACTTCTTCAACTGCACCTAGAGTTGACTCGCGTCACCGAGAATAC